GAATAATAATAATAGTAGAACGTTCCTATTGTCAGACAAGTCTTATTCCACTCAAAGTAACTCCCACTTGCTTGTCATAAAATGGAATTAGAAAGAAAATACTAAAATTTCACATAAGCAAATGATTTAGAGCAATGACAATGTAGAAATAAAGTAGAACATCCCTATCGTCGGACAAGTCTTATTCCACTTAAAATAATTCCTACTTGCATGTTATAAAATTTGTACGAATTACATCATTTCTTATCTAATTGAATGATACAGAAATTGCAAGTAATATTTACGTTACATATTGACAAATAATTTGAACCAATAAATAATAATATAGTAGAGTAATAATAATAGTAGAACCTATTGTCAGACAAGTCTTATTCCACTTAAAGTAACTCCCACTTGCTTGTCATAAAATGAAATTACAAAGAAAATACTAAAATTTCACATTAGCAAATAATTTAGAACAATGACAATGAAGAAATAAAGTAGAACATCCCTATCGTCAGACAAGTCTTATTCCACTCGAAATAATTCCTATTTATAATAGTACCTACTCGTCATAAAACTCGTCATTCGTAGGAATGATATTATTTCTAATTGGTAAAGAAACTACAAGTAAAATGACAACTGACATTACACGTTAATAAAGAATTTAGAATCGAAAGAGTTAAATATCCTAATGTAGATATTTCAAGTTGATTATGGGACTTTCCTCTTCATGAAACATATACGCTGAATGCGCCAAGTAAATTAACATAGAAATATACACGTCGTACCTTACGTGGTTGAAATTCATATTTGACACAATGCTGGAAGCCCTTGCCCTTCACCTTCATGGACGTGAGGACCAAGCAGTTCCCTACGAAATGCGCTGAGTAGCCTACTCCCTTGCTAGTTTTGAAACTGCGAACAAAGACGAATCTCGGTGAACGTCAATAAAAACTCATCGAGGATCCTCTTGCCAACCCTGTCCAATCCCGAGCCCTCTGTATTTTGTTGTTCCTATCCTCCGGAATAACCATGTATTTCGTACAACGGGAACAACAGTTGTCGATCGTATGGAAATCGAATTGTTTCCGCGTGAAGGAATGCGATCAAATTGCTTCAGGATGCAACGCTCGAACGAGGATTTCTTTTTTCTCCCCCCCCAACTTTTTTTTTTCGTGCTAACTCAAACGGAGCCGCGTTTAATCAAATTCGAACGTCCGAATCGAACACGGAAGAATTTGAGCGGCACGGTTTTTTCATCCCTGGCCCCAATTTCCCCTCGGCATTTTTTCCCTTTTCTTTCTCGTTGTTCAATTTCTGTGTGTGTGTGTGTGTGTGTTCTGTTCTCCGATCGATCGTTAGCGAAACGACTGTCAGTGAACGTAAACGTTTCTTCAAGATAGCCAGGCCACTTCGATTCGAGAGAGAGAGTGTTGTTACAAGAGGGCTCGACACCAGTGAGAGCACTTACCAATAAAGATACGGCTTTTCTCGTTCGATATTAACGGAGTTGATGGGGTCCAGGCGGAACCACGTGGTGAACGTGAATCCATTCTCGTGTGGCCATTTCGCGAGCGGCGG